AGTGTTGTTGTTGTTGTTGGTGGTGGTGGTGGTTGGAGTGTTGTTGTTGTTGGTGGTAAAGGTTTGTTGTTGTTGTTGGTGTTGTTGTTGGAGGTGGTGGTGGTTGTGGTGTTGTTGTTGCTATTTTTGTTGTTATTATTATCGGTTAATACATACATACATGTACATACATACATACATACATACACACACACACACACATAAACACACTCACATAGCCTACACACACACACTCACTCACTCACACACACACACACACCACACTCACTCACTCTCACACACACTCAAACACACACTCACTCACACACACACACACACACATAATCACACACACACACACACACACACACTCACTCACACACAAACACACACATACACACACACTCACTCACCTGATTGAGACAACTCTCCGCCCCCACACTCTCCCACACAGAGAAAGTGACCAACACCAACACCCACACATCCATCATGGCCAACAGAGCGGTATCTGCAATCACAAATAGTATAGTCACTTCAAGTTGCAAGTGCCGTAAAACTAAAAACCCTACTAAAACCAATTCTAACCTCGTTCAAAAATGTCCCACTGCGGGTTCGAACCAAAGCCATCAGCACCACGGTCTAAAATGATACTACTTAACTACGAACTGAGGTAACAGCAGGCGCTCACAGTTGGGATACAAGGTGAGTGGTTGGCGGGTGCTCTGGTGTGATTTGCTCCTTCTTTCCTATCAAACATCTATCGTCCTTATCTCCCCTTCTTTTTCATGTTTGTTACTCTCTTGTAACACCTCTAATCTTCTGGCGCCCGTGTGACCTTATGCAGTTGCGAGTGCCGTAAAACTCTTACACTAAAACTACAACTAAGATACAACAAGTCACGATGTGGGATAAGAACACGGTAAAGAAATGAGCCACCTCTGAGAGAAGCCAGCAAGACCAGATGACAGTAACCAATAGCAACAAACGGGAAGAAAAACAAAAATAACAAAAAACAAACAACAGCAAAAAATAAGAATCAATCAAACAAAAACAACAACAAAAAAAACCAGCAGACCCC